TACTATTACTTTAATCAAGTTCTAAAGTGTTACTCCAAAGTGTTACAATTTAAAGTGATCCTATTATTCTTCATGTAATATCTAATATAGTTGTTAATGTTGTAAATGTAAAAGGTCTGCAAGTTTTCGTAGATCGTTGTAGATCTGATTTGAAATAGAACAAAGACTATTTTATAGTAAACTTACATGTGTTTGTTAAACGTTTGCTTAATCCCCGAAACCCGTAACGTAGAGTTTGGTTTGTGTTGGTGACATCTTGAGATGATACTGTCTTCTGCAATGGATTCAAGATTTGGTAATGGACATTTGGTTTCCAATATGTACTGTTCAATGGTAAACCAGTCATAACAGACTATTCTATCTGACCCATCAGAGTAGGGTAGGCTATCAGAATGGTGGAATTTATAGAGAGCAGATCCTTTCCCCAATCATTTCACACACTTTTAAAAAGCAGCTGATTCTCTTCTGTGCAATATGAGGAAAATGTATATCTCAGGTTGATATAAATCTGTCTGAGGAGGCATTACAAGGCCACTTGAAACATTAATACTAAACTAAGTTATATTTTTCCCATATTTCTTATGCCCATTAATGTTTAATATACTTTAGGTTTTGAGGCGAAATAGGATCTGTTGATGTTCTCGACAGGATACTTGAGATTCATCCTCTGAGAACAATCTACTATTTTTGGTATTATCCTGGATTGTCCTGCTTGCGGGACATACAATTTAAAGCACCCTTGGATGATTGAATGTAGGTCTCAGTCAAACTGTATTAGCATCTCTTCCTCTCTAAAGGGTTAGTTAATTTTAATCTCTGATTTTATGAAAGATTTGGGGAGATATAAGTCTTTATGATGTCCCGGATTGCACTGTAGAGTGTGTATTTCTTTTTAAATATATTTTTTGGCCAATTTATAAAGTTGATTAAAAGGAATTCAAGATACATTCTCCAAAAACAAACATTAGTATTTTACAGATCTTCCCAAACGTGTTTGAAGCACTTTTAGAGACTTTTCCCTGGAAGTTACAGTAAGCTAAACTGCTAATTAGTATTTAGTGTTTACTTATGCATTGGGTCTTTGTCTCGGAACAATTTACTTGTGTAAGAATACGCTTTGAACCCTCAGTGAAGTCATTTTGAATCACTTCTGATTGAATATTATTCAACGTTTTGAAACCGTTTTAATTGATCTCATAGACGTTGAATTAAGTCTTTTTTGGCATTAAACATGGGATGGTTTACTCATCTGTTCTGAGCTCAAATATTGCCAATGACAATTAATTTGCACAGAGACGAATTGCGCATTGGCAGGTTTTGGGCTTTCTAATTTGAGCCATTTATTTTTATCTTATGAGTTTATGACGCTTAACAGCAGTCTGGTGTTGTTCAGGTACAGTATGACAGCTCTAGACTGCAGAGATAATGACCACAGATGGAAGTGATGTCATTCAGAGACACTACAGTTTGCAGGTTGAAATCCGGCCTGCATTTTGATGTCATTTCGGGCATAAAATGATTAAATTACTCATCTATTAAATGATATCTGAACATGCACACGCAAAAAAAGAAAAACTGAGTGACCTTTAGCTGTTTTATTAGATGAATATGATGTGCACTGTGTTATGAATACTGTTGCTGCATTAATCACCTGCATTATAAAGCATAAGAACACTGTGTTATTTTTAATGTGAGATTTTGACTGTGAAATTAATTTCTGACTTAATGATCTTTTGTTCAATCATGTAGAGAGTGAAATCCAACATCCGCCGTCATGTTACTGAAATATCTCCTCATTTTGTTAAACAATAGAAAATGTGTGTTCTGTAGTGAGCATAATAACCTGCTTTCTTGGGTGCTCAGTTACTTTAAGTGTTTAAATCGTCTGGTCTCTTCAGCAACATGACCCAGTGTGAGCTAATATGTTTTCGTTTACTTCTGGAAGTGGTCAAAATGGACAAACTCAAAACACTTAAAGGGCTAGTTCACCTAAAACATTAAAAAACCTGTTATTAAATACTTACTGTTATGTCATTCCAAGCACGAAGACCTTCGTTCATCTTCAGAATTCAAATTAGGATATGTTAGATGGAATACAAGAGCTTTCAGACCCTTTTTAGACAGCAATTGTGTATAGAAAAAACCAAAAGGATTCAACTGATCAATTATAATCATATGAAGCTCCAAGAACAATTTTGTGCACCTAAACAACTGTAAGAACAACTTTCTTTGAACTTGTCTTCCACATCAAGTCAGGGTGGGCATTTACTACAGGCATTATGACGTACTTTCCAAGAGTTCACACTTAAGCCCTGGTCACATTACACAATTTTTTGTCATGATGTCCACACCGCGGGGAGTCATAAACGTCAAATAGTCGTGCCACAACTTTCATTTGTTTCTTCTCATGTAATGTGACATAGTTCATGACAACCGATACCATGTCTATGATGCCTCAAGATACCATCGCAAAAAGGTCTAGCATGTTTAATTTTTCCCCTGATCTTCACGACACAATTTCACAGTCATATACGAGGTGATACTGTTAATCCGTGGGTCAGGTAATCAAAACACAGGCTGCATATTTACTTATAGGTCGGCCTCAGATAAGATTAGTCATTGGTTATGTAAGCTTTAACTACTTTCTCTAAAATATTAAAGTGCTTTAAGCAATTTTACCTGACAGACTTCCACAAATGTGCAGGCATCTCTATTCTCACAATGAGTTTCTGAATTCTCTCGCCCTTCCAACCGAGTTTCTTCTTCTGAGGTAATCTGGAAACATGTTCAGTGCTGCTAATACATTGTAAAAGCCTGTACTGCTTATTCAAATTACTTGATTAAACTTATTTAATTGAAACTGACCGGCACATTGGATGATTTTGTTGTTAAATATTAAAACAGTTTAACAGTTTATCTGAAACTGTGAATATTTCACTTTAATTTAATTTAAGTTAGATTTTATTTTAACAAATCAGTTTGTGCTTTTGCGCTGAAACATATAGTGGACTGGTTTTAAATTGCTTCACCACAAGTATTATTCGTTATTCTGTATTCTAGTGGATAACTGACAAACAAAAATACATTCAAATTAAGATACAAATTATACCAATAAAATTAGTTTAAAAAGGTATTTCTTCCAAGAAAAATAGGCTAATTATTATTTTATTTGTGCCCGTCCACTACTCAACTGTACGATGATGATTTGTTTTACTCTGTAAAAAATAAAGATTTAATCAATGCTTCACTTTAATTGTTGTATCACAAACCTCTGTCATATATTAAGCATCTGATTTTCCTTGGTGGTAATGTGCTTTCATTTTCTGTCTCTCTCGCAGCAAGTTCAGGCGAGGGAGTGTTTAATAAACAACACTGGCAGGAAAATATACATTTACATTTAAAAGAACAACATCTACGAAATATATGTTTGATCCTATTAATGTCATAATGAATGCTCTTAAATAATTTAGCCTAGTTGTCAGCAGTCATCCGTGTTTATCGAGATTGACATACTAAGATAAAAAAAATTATTAATAAAATAAGAAATATTGTTTTACACGTTTGACTGCTTTGGGAAATAACACTCGTCATAGACGTCACGAAATGACTGATCATGAAGGAACTTGTAGTCTGGCACAATTGTTACCCACGATAAGTCAAGATTTTATCAAGACCAAATCCCATAATCTGACAGTGACTTTCATAAATGACAATAAACGTGTGTTCTGACCGGGGCTTTAGATATTGCTTGATACTTACAGTAATAGCAGGTTTGGCATGCTGTCCTGGAAGACAATTGAGCCCAGGGCTCCTGCCAGGTCAATTAGCATGTAAGGGGGTCCAAGACCAGGTCGTTCTCGAGAGCCCCCCTGGTAAAGTAGGAAAAAAAGAAGTTGAGGGTGGAGGATGGATTGGAATATTTTTCCAAAACGAAGATGAGGAAAGTAACGTGAAGTGGGCTATTTATTGTAGGTTTGGGTTAATCTGATGATTGCGAATGAGAGACCAGCCACAATCAATTATATCGATTACTTCTCTCGAAATTAGTTTACCAAACTTCACTTATTTGCTGTTATAGTCAACAGAACAATATGCACGCATCATATTGCCCAAAGTAATTTTTATTTTTTTTTACCTGACTTGGAAGGCATAGGCAAACAAAGTTGTTTAAATATTTTATTTGGTGCATAAATGTGTTTTTAGAGCTTAATTTGATTAAAGTCGAACTACTTAAGTCACATGGAATGTTTTGACAATGTTTTTGGTTCCTTTTCTGCACTTTGAACATCTCTCGATCATTGCTATAATGGTGGATGAGAAAGTTTGTCTAAAAACAAATTCATTTGTGTTTCGAAAACTATCAGGGATTGGTCTTAGGTCATTGGAATGACTTGAGAGTAAGTAATTAATAACTGAAATTTCATTTTAGGGTGAACTAATCTTTTAATATGTCATTTACACCTGTGTTTATCATTGTCCACTTGTGATCATATCGACAAACATCCCAAATCTCAAAATCATGTGAAAACAGTCCTTCAACAAGTTGTCTGAGGCCATTTTACCATCATCAGGGTGAAATACTGTATGACCAATTTTTTTATGAGATATGTTAACGAGTTGAACACTAGGTTTCAAGGTTAAACACAAAATCCCCCGACTGGACATTTTTGGCTTTGGAACAAGGAATCAGTGAAGGAGATACTGTAAAAACTCTGTCATGGGAGTTGAGTTATGT